TTATAGGACCTCTTCATTAACCGTCTGTTCTTAGAAATAAGTGGAGGTATCAAGTTGACATTAATACTCCAAATACGCAGGTCTGCAATCCTTTGAAGCTGTGAACAAATCAAACTAATAAGTCAACACAATTAAAAGATATGGCGGTTTATGCAGCAAATTTTGGCACTATCAAGGGAATGAAAACCTATAGGATTCTTCATGTTGACCTAGAATCTTGGTAAGAAGTAACGTCTTACAGCACTAGTAAAGAAAAAAATCCGAAAACCGTAAATTTGTAGTTACATTGCACAAAACTTTTTAATTGTATGTTTCGGGGGTTGATTTTTGGGGGTAACTTAAAGCATACTCGGGAAAAAGAGGAAAAAATCATCAAGACTCGATTTCGACTATTTATATATCTACAATTTCATACGGAACTCCTGGTGAGTCCGATTCGCATTTGGCCAGTTTTTTTACCAGTTCTTAATGATTTGTACAATTTACTAAGAAACCGTTTTGCATTTATCGTGAAAACTACATATTTTTCTCATGGCCAAATAGCTTTTGCTAGAGCTGAAGACCAAGCCTTGGCATTTTATTATAGGGACGAAGGCCCTTATTTTTGAGAAAGACCTTCAGATACAATACAATTGATCATTCCTGTTTTCTCAGTTATGTCATTAGTATTTTTATTACTAAAGACACAAAGAATAGAGCATGTCATCATTTATTTATTCAGGTATTCACAAACAATCTAAGGCTAATTAAGAAGGTTTAAAAGTTACATAGATGGAGATAAAAGTTAGTTTTTGTTTTAATGTATTGGTAATTTTGATTTGTAAATTATCCAGTCAAAAGCCACAAAATTTAACCATTTTTAGGACGGCCAAAAAATCATGCATCCATGAAAATAATAGAAATTTTATCTTTCATCTTATTTTTAAACGGATGTTCGAGAGTAACAATGGGAAGAGGTTAGTTTTGCACAAAAAGGTGTATATCAAATAATTAAATAACTAACTGTACGTAACAAATTTTGATTGAATTATTATCTTACGATTTACTGAATATAAAAAATAAAATCGAAATTTGGAAAAGGTTGTAGCAAGATAAACCTTATGTTACTGAGTTTTTCGCTGCTGGCGTGCTAAAAAGAACACACCCCTTTTTTGTTCTTCTGATAATAGTAGTCATTTGGTAGTTTTGCCTGGAAAGTTTTCCGGGAGTTTTGAAAATTGGTAATATTATAGATTTTGAGGTGCTCATTCCGAATTTCAACTTTGCCACCTCGTATATTTGCCGCTCGCACCGCCGTATTGGAAAAATGGCGCCTAAATGCAGCTTCTTGGTAATATCTCCTTTCCAACTCATTTTACGATAAAAACAGTTATATACAAAATGAAACTAGGGACAATTGCCTACAATTTTTGTATCTACCTTTTTTCCATAAAGTCAATAGTTTTGGCGTACGAGCGCCGCAAAGTGTACTCCAACGCGTGTTTTGGTAGATCTCAATAGAAATATTTAGTCTGAGTCATCAGTAGAGTTCGGAATATATGCACTAAAAAATAGCAAATATATTCATGTAAATATGCTTTCAAAATCGTCACAATATGCATTTAAATTTTAAATAAAACACAAAGAAATTCTGTTAACACTTGTATTTGTTTAAATTACAATAGCATAACTTACAAAAAAAAACCAACAAACGTTATCTTCAGATATACTATAACAATATAAAACTAAATGTTTTTCTAAATCATCCACATTAAAATTATGTCGTTTATTTGATAAAAATTGTGGGGATACAACGTTAAAAAAAACGCGCCTCTTACTCTACCTCAAGGTGGTGTGGAAATGAGTTTTTTTGGCCAAACTGCGTGTTAGAGTACACTTTGCGGCGCTCGTACGCCTAAACTATTAACTTTATGAAAAAAAGATACATACATAAATTGTAGGTAATTGTCTCTAGTTTCATTTTGTAAATAACTGTTTTTATCGTAAAATGAGTCGGAAAGGAGATATTGTCAAAAAACTGCTTTTTGGCGCCATTTTCCCAATATGGCGGCTCGAGCGGCAAAAATACGAGGTGGCAAAGTCGAAATTCGGAAAGAGCACATCCTAATCTATAAAATTACCAATTTTAAAAACTCCCGGAAAACTTTCCAGGTAACCACTATTTTTCGAACCAAATGACTGTACTATGAAGCGATCCTTTAGCAACCTGCGAGGAATATAAAAGCTTGGCTAAAAAACCTAAAAAGTTGGAAATAAGTTGCCTCAGTGGTCTTATGATGATGATTATTAATTGAAAATTTCACTGAGACTCGTTGGTTTGACGCCCTTGACACTTAAGGGTATTAGTTAGTTACAATTTCGGAATAGCGTTATTTTTATTAAGAATATACGTATGTTATACACTTTCAATTTGCATCTTCCTCTTATTACAATTCACCACACAAACAATTTCAAAATGGTAGAATTAAAATAGAATATTTGCATTCTTGAATAATTGAAAAAGGAAATTGCACTTACGCTTATACATTAAAGTTGTTACTTTTTATAAATATTACTGAGTTTTACTGTATTTCGCAATAAAAAAACGGAACTTTATTAGATGACATTGTTGCCCGTCTGTTTGTGGGTCAAAACATTTTTTTAAAGAACGGCTAAAGTTGAAGAAGTACTAAAGTCTAAAACCTCATAACTTCTAACTCAATGCAACAGAAATATGCAGTCTTCCAAAGTATGTTTCCGTACTAACAGATTGAAACTCACTGATTGATTGACACACACCATTGAACATACAACCTTGAAATTTGGCACAAAGGAATAATACCACTAAACTTTACCATAATATTGATATACCTAACAATATGCAAACATCACATATGAATAACCTTTTTGTTAACAAATTTCAATAAAGCTGCAATGATCCAGTTCAATTTCTTCATAATATTAACTTTATTAATATTTATTTTTGTGTCTTGATTATTTTATTGGCCGCATCGAATAAGATTATTGATTTTATCAGCAAAAATATACACCATTTTGAGTTATCGATATCTCTAGGTTTTGGAGTGATTTACATAAATTTCAATAATGGAAATTGAAAAGCAGAGCATCCTCAGTGCATTTCTACAACGTTGAATGTCATTCCTCCAATATTGAAAGAATTGATGATCTTTAGATGTGACCTCTAATGATTGTAACATTTTATTTATCCTTGGGCAATTAATACTAAGTAATAAGTTCTAATGGGATTTCATGTAGACATACTATACATAAGTGTGTACCTGAAAGTATGTATCTTAGACACATTTATAAAGTAAACAAAATTTTGTAATGAGGTAAGTATTATTATTAAAAATCAATAATGGCAAAAATTATTTTTTACAAAACAATATGCAACGAACATAAACAAAAATAACTGAACCTCGATTTGCTTTTTTGGACCTCCTCCCTCTCCCTTTCGTCACGGTTCGTCACGTTTCCTATCGTCTACATCTAACAATATTACGTTAGCTAGACTTTCCTCCTGTAAGCAATTCGTTGCGATTAATATTACTTAGAAACATCAATAAAACTAACAGGTTAACAAAAAATTGAAATAAAATGTACGAACGAAGGTTCCTTGAAGTCTGCCTTTACCCCTGTCACTTCTCGTTACGCTAAGAAATATACCCCCTCCCCGTCTGTTTTGTTGTGCCCCTTATTGTGAAAATTTGTAGTTTAATTAAATAAATAAATAAAACCCTTGGTAATTGTTTCGCAAATATATTAAGAGCAATCTTAATATAAGAGTTCTATTTAATTATTCAATTATTTAAATATATTTTATCTAATGCCGAACAAAAATTCACCAGTCTTAGTTTAAGGTTTATAATTAATATGAACTTCTGTGCTACAATTTTTTCTGATAATTTTTACACCGCATTAACGTTTTTAGGTAATTAATCAATTACGATAGACGAGAATTTGTTGCAGAACCATCCTTTGCCATTCAAAATGTATTATTATTACGTACTAAAATTTCTTTTTTAGTCAATAAACTTCTGAAAACTGAAAAACGTAATTACTCTATATCATATAGGTATTGAAACTACTTCGAATAGCTTACTTAAAAATTTAAAGTTTCAACCTACTCAAATTTATTCAAATATAGATATAGACTTTATTCTTTGAAAACTGAATACATACAACCAATATTTTCAAGCACTAAAATATAAACCAGTTATTATACTGTAAAAATCATAATAGTGTAAATTGGCTAAATATCACAATTCCATTGTTGTTTCTTATTACATTCAACGATACTTTAGACAAATTTCTGTTTTTAAATGATTTTTGAACTTCTAATTTATCATAAATCAAATTTTGTTTTTGCCCTTTTTTCGTTACCATTTCTAAATAAAGTTCAAACGATAGCGAATTTTCGAAAATAATACAATGATGTAGCTATTTCTCACGGTTTTTTTAATCCCAGAATTGGGCAGACAGAATACTGTTATGAAAGTCTCTCATATTAAGATTATATTTTATATAGGCACCTACTTAGCATGAATAGGTACCTATGTAGTAAAATCGAAACAATTATTATACCGTTTTATACTGCAAAAATACTTTTTCTTAAAAATCATTTTTGTATTCCTTTTTAAAAAAAAGTATTTGTGTTTTGGTAATTTGCAGTAGGTACAACTTACATTATTTAATAGATAAAAGGATAAAATATGAATTAAACTAATTGTATAAAGTGAATCCACACAATGTTACAAACAATGATAATTAAACAAAATCAAGAATTCTTACGAAATGATAAATAATTACTTGCAAAGGCACAAAAATTTAACACGACTCTGTCTATCGCTATTATCGTCTCCGTAAAAGCGTTGGCGGTGAGCTACCTTGCTAGAATGTAACGTCGTCGACACTACTGATGTGATAGAGAATGGACCAAGTGACCCATTGATCAAAAGCTAAGCTCGGGCTAATCACATCTCTTCTAAACTGGCGGGGTAGAAACCGTCACATGCATGTATAAAAGGGAAAATAGATGCGAACCGTACTTAGTTTATGCTCCTCAGTGCTTGTTTTTAAGGATTATACTAACAGGTAAGAGTGCAAATTTTTTGTTGTGACTTTCGGGCAATATGAACATCCGGTATAATAGTGTATTGTGTGAGGATACATCACTATCGCCGTTTAATAATTTGTGATTGCATACAGTATGAATATCTTAAATTGTGAAGAGTGACGATTGAATAATTTTCCGATTTTTATGTGTGCGTTTCTAGTTTTCATTGTTGAAATATAAACACTCTTTGCAAATTCGTTAATAGGAACAATTGTTAAGAAATGGTAAGTGAAAGATCAAGGCTTATACAGAAATTGGATTGCTGGCCAAAATAATACCATATTGCCGATGTTATTTAGCACACATTAACAAACTTTTGTTTAGAATTAAAAATTACAAGAAATAATTAAAAGAGACGGCCCCACATGCGCAATAAATATTAAGTCAATAGTAAAATTTATATATTGCCTTTGCAAAATAACACCTGATTTAGCTAATAGTTTTTAAAAATATTTTTTTTCTGAAAACGGCAACAATAATCCAAAGTAATATTAATATTTTTAATATTATATTTTGTTGGTAATTTTACGATTTGTTCTTCTGTGTTTTGGATGCATTGATACGTGATTTTTTGTTTTGTCTCTTCATACCATCAATTTTGTAACATTAATTTAAAAATTTTCTTTAGAAGAAAATCTACCTAATACTTACATATTATATGCTTGTACTGCAGCTGTACAATTAAGTACCCATTTATACAACTTTCAGTTTTTCATTTCATACCACCATTTTTTTAATGATAATTTTATAAGAAATATAATGTGTACTTAAGTTATGATACAACTGTACAAATTAAGTATTTATTCGACTTTTTATCTGTCAGCACTCCATAGTCTACTAGTGCCTTTATCTTTCACTGTACAGGTAGTTTCAAATTATAATCGACTAAATTCAACTCAAATGCGGTATCTGCTACTTTGGATTAAAATTACTATATATTTATATACCTATATAATAAATAGACATTGTCAATGACAATATTAATGACTATAATAGGTATACAAGATAATACATTTGCTTTCGGTTAAGCGAACTGTAAAGTTACAAGATGCTGTGAAAGTATAACATAATATGTGTATGACAGTTGAAATAACAATATAAAACAGCCTTGGAAACAAAATTTAAAAACTTGACACCTAAAATATCTACTCGCCAAACTACAAGTTAAACGGTTACATTTTACGTAATATAAACGTATAATTGCATGCTCTATGCTCTTTTAAATAAAATCGATTTTAATATTGTGCATGATATATTTTTTTATTTTATTTTAAATATTATTTCGACTAGGTAAGTAAAAAGACATTAATTAAAACGTGTAGAAACTTCTTGAATCTTGAGGTGGTTATTTCCTGGATAACTTATAACCTTAACAGAATTTCTTAATCACCTTGATTTAACATTTTAATAGTTTAGTTTACGGACTTGTTAAAATATGTTCGCCAAATTTGTAAACAAATTACATTCTATGTAGAATTCTGATTTACTTAACAGCAGATCGCAATTTTAATTTCAGTCGTACAACCTTCTGGCTTCTGAACACCGATAGAAAAAATTAGTCATCGATGGCATATTTAAACGGTAATAACTTAAGTCGTTAGCCTTACGGTCAATGTAAATTGTGATTTAAATTATTGCAAAAATCCGCTTATTACGTTACGTTCAACCTGCTTCTTTGAACATTGAGGTAAATATTAATTCGAGACGTGTGAATCTTCTAAAAAACTGAATGAACAAAAATTACTCTTATTAATAATATAAAAGTGCATATTATTATATTTGTTATTCTCAGTTTTTGGTTATACGTTAAACCCATATGCCCGGGATATTGTTGTATCGGATTACCGAGTAAAAGTGCCGGATCCAATACGGGTACCCGTCTTATCTTTAGCTTCCGGGTAGAATATGCAAAAAGTTATATTTAATTTTCAATCAGTATTAGAAAATAAACTATATTCGTGAACACAATGGATATTGTAAACCCCCAACGCTAAAACACGACACTAAGCATCCGAAATACTATTCGATAACAAACTTACCTTCTTCAGGAACTGAATAGTTTGTTTTTTTTTACCGAAAAGTGTTGGGGTTTGAACTATTTGCACAGAGCCAAAGTTTTCAGTCTTCTTGATTATGTTTTAGTGAGTTCGTACTTGTTCTTTTCTCTTCCTCAAATTGTCTCAATTTAAAGTTCACTTCTGCTCAGTATCACTAATGCATTTTTCGATTATTATAATAAGATACTGCACATAAGTATAATACCAGCGTATAAAACACAATTATTACACAATAACTCCACGCCCTATTAAGTTCAATGACGAGCTACAAGGAACAACAAAGAGCAGATGATTCCTAATCATTTCAAGCACCTTCAGCTAGATCATTTTCTCCACCGTTTCTCGTTGGTTGCACATCAAAATTATAGCCAGTGTCAAGTGTGTTTTCATCTCGCTTTCTTCAGATACAATTTCCTCTTTCTGAGAAAAATCGTGAAACTACTTAAACAAACCTAACCTTTAACTCAGAAAAAAGAATAACTTTAGTCAAACAGTAAGTTTTATTTTCTTCATACGCGTCAATAAAATATTTATGATAACCGTTTTGTGTTTTTTAATAGTAACAGTTAAATAAATGCTTTTATATATTTCCATTGCTGTAGACGTGTTTCCATCATGTTTCTTTTTGATGATTTTTTTGATAATAAAAACGTGTAAATAGTAATGAGAACTCTTATACCAATAAATGCAGTATTTCAAAAACCTTATACATACCTTTACACTTACATTTGTATCTTTTTATGTTTTTCATAAATCATTTCTTAAATTTGACCATTAATACAGTTAATAATGACATTAGCTGGTGAATAATAAATATTAATTTTGTAAAATTAGTCAACCGATTATTATTCAGAAGTGTTTTAATAATATTGAAGCTTTAATGGGAGATCTTGAAGTACCTGTGGCTATCCTCCATTATTTTTTTAGCCAAATAACTTTCACTGCAACGTCTTCCAGACTGTTTTAACCAAATAATTGTGGATAGGTACGAATTTTTGCAATTATAACTGAAGTTTCTCACTTGAGTTGAAAGTTCTTCTCCGCATAATTCATGTTCGCACGTTAGCACTTCTATTTATCGTCTTCCCCACAATTGAATAAAGTTAGTTTGCAAAGCGTATGAAAAAGAAAGTGGTATTTAAGTATGCAAGAGTTCTATGTGCTTTCATCATTTTATTAATGTTTAGTGACTGCCATATACATACAATAATCATCTCTAATAATGAAACTGAAAGCAAACAAACTCTGAAAATACCATTCAATGACTACAATTGTTATGTCAATATACACAATATACATAGACAGGTAGGTATATAACCAAGTGCTAATTATTACTTGTATTAACTGAGAACTACTCACTTGTCCAAGTATATAAAACATTTAAAAATTACCATAAAGAATGCATATAATAAGAACATTATTTTACTGCATCATGCGTAGGTATTANCATTTAAAGTGCAAATACAAAATAAAAAATACCTATTTTTATCTTGCATTTAAACACTTTTTTGAGAAAAGCATTTTTTATTTTATTTAAAATACTTTTCCGAACGTATTCTTATTTGTAAAATGGAAAATACATTTTTGCCGTTAAAAACTTTGCTAGTATCACCGATCTAACATTATAAAAAAGGATGAATTAAAGTTGCTCACATTGACCTTTGAAGGTATTAGAAGCTTTAAAAAGGAACAAAGAGACATTCCATGAATGCCTTCTAATTCTTTAACTGAAGAGAGCCCAAAAAATTCTAAACTCATTGGAAATGGATAATCTAAAAAATATTGGATCGATATTGTTCTCCGTGTTCAATGTCATGGCCCACGGAATTTTGAAGTTCCAAATTGATATCAGCATCTGCCAAATCACTACTTATCGTGGAACTACGAAATTATATGAATTACGACAAAACAGCCCGTAAAACAATATCGAATTGAGCTGAAAGCTACAAGACATTGTGGTGTGCCATTAAATGCCTATAACCCAAAATTCTTAAAAAACAATTTTAAAAACTTTACTTATTAGATGAACCCAAACCTAAGGAAACTACGGATTCTTTTTCTTTCTCTTATTACAATGTGTAAAAGATCAGAAACAAAATGGGGTCGTAAATATATTGATATAAAATGATTGATGTTGATTTTACATTAATAAAATTATTTGCTACCCTATTTTGGCTCTGGTCTTTCACACTAACAAACTATTTTGGCATCAATGCCTCTTTTCCAATTGAAAGGGGTGACAAAGGTAAATAAGGAAGAAATAAGCAAATGCCTGCAAGGTTTTCTTAAGAAATATTTTATACATATAAATAAATGTAGAAAATTAAATAGGTATTACAAAAAAGTATTTATTTGAGGAAAGTATTTTGAAAATACGTATTTTGCATTTAGCATTTAATAAAATACAAAAGGGAAATCAATTTTGTATTTTACATTTAAAATAACAAATCAAAAAATTATTTGCATTTTGTATTTAAATACTTTTAAAAAACCATTTTACACATCTCTGGTCGTAGTGTACTANAAATATAGATATAGACTTTATTCTTTGAAAACTGAATACATACAACCAATATTTTCAAGCACTAAAATATAAACCAGTTATTATACTGTAAAAATCATAATAGTGTAAATTGGCTAAATATCACAATTCCATTGTTGTTTCTTATTACATTCAACGATACTTTAGACAAATTTCTGTTTTTAAATGATTTTTGAACTTCTAATTTATCATAAATCAACGTTTTGTTTTATTTTTTGTTTTCTTCTTGTTACTTCTTTTTTTCAAAGTCTCGCGATAATGATGAGTAGAATCTTTTTAGAACCAATATGCAATACATTTCCACACAAAAAAATCTAAAAATTGCCTTGTACAGTAACGATAAAAATGTAAATGGTTTATTAAAGCGTACAACTATACA